GTTCACCCGTTTACACGTTAGTGCGACAGAGCTCATCGATGGACCGCATGGCCGTGGCTTTAGTGACCACTGCAACAAAAACGACCACATTCGAGTGCCCCACAGAATTGTAGAAAAACATTTTTGCAGATTACAAAGATTTATTTTTACCAATCATAAATCGTCGCTGATCTCAGTCTGTCTCTCCTTCAGAAATCAATAAGCGTGCTGTTTAAATCAATTGTACACCCCATTATTCAGTATGGTCGGGGGTGGTTGTCTGAGATTGTGAACGGTCACCATTCCCTTACACCTCGCGAAATACTCACATACGACCAAGTGTCTCAGACAGCCTCTGCTGAGGAAACCAAACTCACTGCCTTCTCGTCGCGGAGGTGTTGTCCCACAAAGGTGAGAGAACGAAAAGTCGACATCCGGGGCTATAACCGGGTTGGTGAACCATCGACAGTTCACTTAGGGGAGTTGGCTAAAAACCTTGATTGCAAACCAACCAAGTAGAGGCGTAAGAACCACACGCATACCTTCCTGGTCGCGGCAGTGGGCACCGGCGCTAAGCTTGATTCGAAACGAGTTCATCTAATGACTGAAAAAGAGACTTGATACAAAAAAATTTAAATAACCCACTTTTTCACTAAGATATTATAAACAGGCAATTGCTTCTTCAAAAAGCGGCTCATCAATAGACACAGTGAGTAAAGTCCACAATCAGATAGCATTTATCCTCTGGTGCCTTCATCAGCGGCTGATTCCATGTGGGTTTGGACCCAGCATTTATGAAAGCGTTGATCAGTTCGAGCGGATGCACAGATGCCGTAACTTTCCTGACCAGATGCATGCCCACGAGGATGTTCACTTCGGATTTCATGGTAAGCTGCTCGTCTTCGATCGAAGACAGAATATACTGCAGTAAATATTTCCGAAATGAACATTTAAAAGACAAAATCACAACCTATTCATAACATTGAAGAACAGCTCGGAGGCAGCTGTAGGAATTCGACATTGGAGAAAAATGCGGCTTTGTTATGGTAACGGGCGTAGGCTATAAATAATAAAATAGAGCGTCTTTGAAAAAGCATCTTGCGGTTTATATCGGACAGCCAACTGTGCAATAACGCAAAAGTTATTTATGAGTTCTTTGATTTATGACTGCAGGGAAGGATTTTTCTATCTATACCTCGGAGACATCGTGGAGTTCGAAATTTTCCAATAATCAACGGTGATAACTTTTCTCCAGTCATGCTCCCACAAAGCAGTAATGTTACAGTAATGATGCTCTCCACCATGGAGGGTTTGCAATCACTTCAAAAAAGCATTTAACATAGCTTATGAATGGTCTAGGGAGAACGAAACTAAATTCTTTGCTTTTAAACGCAAAGTCCTAACCCTAGGCCACAGGAATAGATTCCCGTATTTCCTTGGAAATCAACAGCTGAAACATAGCCCAAGTGAAAAGGACTTAAGTAGCATTGTTCAAAAAGACTTAAGTTGCTCGATTAATTGCGCCCGGGCTTTATCTGTATCTATGAAGAATTTACGCTTATTTAGATCGGTTTGAATCAGCACTGTTACCACGATTGCCACTAGCGTACATTAAACCGTATACAACGTAAGAAGTCCAAGCCTAAAATCCATGGCTACAACGCGATCGCAAGATGATGGAGAGTTCAAAACGGATTGCAAAAAAGATGAACGGAGAGTGCATTATACCACTTCATGTAGGCAGAGAGATTACAATCATTGGGACGACATTCCATTCAGTATCGCCGAACTTGAGGAGATTTAATTTTGGTGGATCAAATATTGCCGAACCCAAGTCATCCGTGTCGTCCGCTGCTCACGTTGTCGTCCAACATCCATCCACCTTAGGGGACATTATTTCAAGTTAGTGATTCTAAAGTGTCGACTGGAATATCGGCGTCACGTCACTTGTATTACGACTGTTGAGTCTTTCAAGGAGAGATTTAATAAAACCCTGGTATACCTCACAGACCTACACAAGTAAAAACGCACAACAGTTGAAAATTGCATTGTGTGTTATCTCCATGAGCATGAGCATGAAACATCGACTTTGTATGCACAAACCCTGTTGCCTGTTGAGACAGGGATTGTTTTGAGACAGAGGCGCTTTGAAGTGTTCTGGCTAGAATGCGATTTGAACAGAAAAGCACAATTGTATGAGATGGACAGAAAATGAGTGATAGGATGACACAAATGAGAACATGAAACACCATCTGCAAGTTTGTACCGGAATAGGGTACAGCACAAACTAGATTGAACGTACTGTAGAAAAATCGGACACCGAGAGAGGATTGATGGTAGCGATTCACATCCAGAAACACATCCACACGAATAGCCAAACTGATTTCTCCGCGTATACCTGTTAGAGCGAACCATGGAATGAAGACAAAATAGGAGTAACGTTTCGATTCGATTCGGGGTTTGTAATCCGATTAGGGCGAATAGAGGTTACCGGTGAAGCCATTCAAATCGGTTCTCTCCATTTACACTGTGATGATCAGGAGGTCTCGTGTGCACACGCAAACAGCGCGTCAGCAGACATGCGCGAATTGTGGGGTTACGTGAGCTAAAAACGAAATTGCCTT